AGGTGTGCAATGTCTTCATGTTTTCCTTTGGCTGAACTTTGTTTCTAGTGAGGGAAAGACCCCATTTGGCCTTCATTTCAAAATAGTCCTGGTGAGCACTCATTTCCATCTCAAAAAAATTGCTGTCCTAGAAATAAGGGCCTAGGCATCTTTTTGCTATGAAAATCCATGAAAATAATACATCTACAGTCATAGCATTAATACATAAGGCAATATAATATATCAGGTATTTTTTCCATTGCAGCCAGGATAAAAGGATTTCTGTGTGTAAAGCAGTTGCACACAAAATGTACAAATAGTTTTAAGTCTTTTTTAGCAGCAAGAGGGAGTTAGTACCTTCATTTTTAGGAACTCTCTGCAGAAGCCATCTTCACTCTGCAATGTGTCCTCTTCTCTACTATAGTATTTCACCTACTAGTGAGCAAATCTGGTTTCACGTGGACATTGAAGAAAGAAGGACAAGGGGAAGGGGAAACAGAGCATGAAGAGAGTACAGTATCTGTGGCAAAAAGTGTGTTCCAAATGAGAGAATTTATTTGGGATAGAGGTCCAGTAACCATCTTGAACCTAATTGTGGCCTGCCTGAGCTATTCTTCACTTCATTCTTCAGTTTATAGCAGAGAAGGTGAGTGTGTTTGAACAAGGACAATTTTTTTTCTTTAGGCATCTGCATTCCATTCTCTTGGCTGCAACCCCTATAGGAAAAAATTGCCAAAACCCATCCTGAGAACAGAGTCAACTCCGAATACCAAGGCAAATGTATGCAGTATTAATGCACATTACCTTTCAGGTTTTATTTATGCCCAGTGAAGAGTTATGAGAACTTTTAATTTCAGTTGCCACTTTCATTAATATAAAAATCTGGTGTAGTATTATTTACTTCATTTTGGCTTCCCCCCAGTTGAAACCACAGCTCCCATTCTATATATCTTGGCTCACAGAGGTTCTGGCTTCACAATTTTTATGTCCTGTTTGTGTTATTTCATTTTTCTGCCAGATTTCCTATTTGCTTATATGGGACACCCTCCTCCATTACGCTTCTCATAACTATATGAACTATGACAATTACCAGGTGCTGATGAAATGTCAAGGGCTCTGAGAAACAAAGACTAAATTTTAGTATTTTAAAAGTAACACAACTAACAGTACAAGAATACACAACTACTAAGTCAGAGAGGTTATGCTGCCCAAAATGTACAGAATTAGAATGACATTTTTGACAGCTCACAAGTGTAAGGAAATGCACTGTACCATAGAAGTATACCAATGAGGACAATCATTCTGACTCTCTTCTCTTGTGCCATGCTCAATACTGAATAAATACTTGGCAAGCCATCTAGATGGCAGTACTTGTTTCCTCACTGAAGAAATCACAATTAAAAAGATACTTGCTGGAAAAAGTGTTAAAAAGGGGAATGAAACGATGCTTTGTTAATGGACATAAGAGTTATATTTTTTTTACCAGGGAACAGTCCTATTGCAACTTACCAGAACATGAAACAAGAAAAGCTTAAAGTAAGGCTTCGATTTCATATATTCAAAACATGCCAGAAACTAATGACTGAATATTGTGGTTTATTGTAGAAATTGGGCCCCAACTACTTGAGGATTCCATCCTGGAAGGCACTGAGTAGTTCTGGGGTTTTGCTCTCACTCTACTAGCACAATATATGCAGCAGCAAACATTCTTGGTTTTAGTGGGAAATATTTTTCCTTATGCTGAGTTATTTAGTGTTGTTATTGGTATATTCAAGATAGCCTGACTTTCAGCTATACATTTCCTTTGTTATTATTATGTTTTTAGGCACACAACACTTAAAGCCCATCCAAGCAGCACATTATAAATGCAAAGATCATGAAGTGCAGCAGCACACTAAACAAAAACAGTGTAGTTCAGAGACTAAGCAACCACAGACATACATACAGTCACGTGATCCTCAAGGTGCATTAAATGTCATTATTTGTACATACAGATTATAGGGAATAAAAAAATACAAAATAGTTTATTTTATATCTGAGAGAGCATTATTTACTGTAAAGTAAAATGGAAAGGAATAATTAGAGCCTTGATTTTGGCAAACACTAATCTTCAGCAAAAGGGTTAGAATATGAAAAGCAAAAAAAAAGTCATTTTCCATAAGCAACATGATATAGTATGTGATATATTTACAGCAGGATGTGAATGTTTGAGACTGCAAGTTTGTAATGGGGAGATCATTTCTCCTTCTCCACTGATAGAATATTTCAAACACTGGATTATAATTTTTGGAGAGTGTTCAAAATGTACAAAATTCAAAGACTGATGACATAAGTTCACTTCATCTATGGTTTCATTTAATAAGCCTTGGCTGTATTTTTTTTTAATATGTATAAATATAAGCTGGTTCAGTTTATAGAAAATGTACCCCATTAGCAGATTTGTGACTTTATAAATGAGCTATTGTGCTTTTGTTAGCGTGCAGGCATGTCTTTGTGTGTGTACCTATCTATCTATACACACAAATACATATATATATATTTATCTTAGAACACTCATTGTTTTAAACTTTAATCATGCAAAAAACCTGCAAAGTGCTTGGAGTTTCAAATGCTTTGCTGAGTGCTGAAGAAATAAAATCAGAGAAGTTATGGCAGAGTTTAGCGGGGATCAAGTGCTTAAAGGTACAGTGTTCCATTTTGCTGTGTAAATCCTTTGAAATATGGCTTCTCTTAAAATCAATTTAAATGCTCCTAAAAAAAAATTTGGGAGGATGTCAGTTCAAGGATTAAAATGAAGAGCAGAAAGAGGTGACTCTGGTTTGATTCCTCTCCATCTCATCCATCATATACACAGAGATGTCCAGCCTGTAGCACTTGCTTCCCACCATACATCAGAACGGACCATGAATGCATATCATTACTTTCGGTACTCCATCCAATTCTCACAGAATCTGGACAATTTCATCGAAGGCACTTCCTGGAAGCTCGGTCAAAGCCTTCTGTACTTATGCTTCAGCCTGGCCTATATTCCACATGAAAAAACATGGGACTTTCCTTTGAAGCCAACTTCAGTTTGGTTCCTAATGAGAACTGTTAACCGGTCAAAATTACCCATGGCCTAAAACAAGACCTTAGAGCTTGAGAACATCTTGTGTATTAAGAAACCCTCGATGTTCTAACTCATGTGGGCTCCCTCATATGTAATGATGGCTCACAGAGAACAGAATAGATTTGCTTACATTTATTCTCTCTTTGAGAAGATCATAGAGTTACGTCCATTCTATTCTTATCCAAACATTTTGGTGCCTTACTAAAAACTCTAGCTACTGAAGTCATTCTTTTGAGACTCTCAGCTTTCATCAGAATAAAAACTATGTCTCCATGGGTTGTAAGAGTTGGAGGCAACAGCTTGAAAGCCTAGGGTAGATATTCTGAAGATCCTACAATGTCAGCATCATTTCATTAATTGAAGGACTGCTCGCATTTACTGAGCAATGCTCAGGCTGAGTTCATTGTCAATTTGTAAATTCTCTTTTGCAGCATGCTGTGTTCTGTACACTTTTTATCTTGAGGCAGACTGAATGTTTTCTGTTGACCAAGAGGAAAAATATCAGTTTAAAGCAGTCTCTTAGCATCTTGCAAACAAAGGACTGTTTTAAAAAAAAAAAGAAAAAAAAGAAAAAAAAGAAAAAGAATGACGGATGGAAATATAGAAAAGTCTATCTAAGTGCTTGATTTTCTGGAAATTTTTAAAAGAGGGAGAGTATGAAGTACTTGGATATTAAGAAAAAGTTAAAGAAAGGAAAATTCACTGTTAATATAAATTCAAAAGTGGTTTAATACGCAGTATAAACAGAAAAAGTGAAATTATTTTCCTTCAGAATAAACAGTCTCTATAACTGGAAAAGCAAGGCATTGTCAAGACTTTGATACTGCGAAACAGACACAGACCAAATTAGTTTCAACAACCTCTTCTGATAGAAGAGGAGCAACAAAAAAAACTTAAAACCAATCTGCTTTGAAGCACAGTTTATGATTTAAAATCATAATATTTATATCATGGGAAGGGAATAATTTTAAAACTTGAGGTACACAGAAGTGCTCATGTAGATTGATTTTTTTTTTTACTCTACCCATTTAGCTATTGCCTTTTCTTTTTAGGAAAAGGCAAAATGAAAGGAAAATCTTTTAACTGAGAATAGTGGGAATTTTTTAAAGTATAGAGAACAATAGAGAAGCTGAAATTCAGGTCTCTGACTAGAAGATGGCACATCTTTTTTCTCTAATCTGGGGGAGCAGTAACTACTAAATGGTTAAAAATAAAAGTTCTTAGCAAAGAATTGAAGAAAAGCTTCCCATCTTCTGCTATGTGCATTTCAAGGTTTGTGGGTTTTGCCATCATATAAAGAAGCTTTCTCTTTTCCTTTTGGCCTTTTTTTTCCCTTATGATTAGGCAATTTATTTCCTCTTTGAGGTTTCCCAAAGGTAACCAAGATCGGTCAGAGTTTTTTCCAGAATTTACGATTACCCTACCGTCCGGCCCATACCTGTCTTTCCCTGCTTTTTATAACCAATCTTAAGAAGAAATGTCACAAAGTCATGAGTGGCACATTGCATTAGTATATTTAAGAATGTAAATTCTTAGCACCTAAAGTTTCCTGCTATGCATCTTATAAGACAGCAGTGTATTAAGGTCCTGAACCGGTGACATGGCACAGTGAAGACAGAGACTTGAGCTGGGGAAACAGCTCTGTTCCCAGGCCCTGGACTAATGGGGGTGGGAGTGTGTAAAAAGCAGTTTGCTTGGGGGGTGGAACAAGGGACATTAAGAAGCAAATGCTCTCAGTCTCCAAAGGAAAGCTGCTGTAATCAGTACACAGCATTCTCTCAGTCAATCCAAGGCTTTATGGGGGGGGGGGGGGGAGAAACCCAACAAAAATCTTTTAGCTCAGTGGATAAGTGTAAGAGGATTTTCAAACTGGATAGGCAGGAGTCTATCACACTAAAAATTATTATTCAAGTTTAAAGTAAAGCTTTGTTTAGGTTTTAATGAAAGCAACAGAATTTTAACAACAGAAGTTCTGTTCTTTCTCTTTTTTTTTTTTCTCCCTTTCCACATTCAGTTCCTCTGCCCCTGCACCTGCTTCCAGTTTTGGCTTCTTGGCAGTGATGCTTAGAAAGACATCAGCTGGCAGCAGCAAACTGTTAAAAGCTCCCCTGCAATGCAGCTTTGCAAATGCCAGCCATTTATTCACTGGTGCATGCCAGTTTAACACAAGGTTTCTTCCCCTCTCTCTTCTCAGCTCTCAGGTTTCACTTCCAAACAACAGTAAGGAATCTGAGTCATGGCCTAGCTGTTTGAGTATCCATTAAATGTGGTCATTTCTATTCGTTGTTGTCGCAATATTTTGATCCAAAGGGTGCTGCATAGAATTTCAACTATAGCACTGTTTCTTCTTTGCAGACATAGCTGTTGGACCACAAGTTTTGTTCTGTTTTAATGTTTTGTCCTTTTAAACAGATGGTGGGATAGCTAAGCTGCTGAGATCTTGGAGTTATTTTCTTGCCTTTGTATTTTTCCTTTTCTGTTTTTCCAAGTCCAGAATGCTAGCCTGGAAAAAGAAATAGAAGAAGAACAAGACAAAGAGGGTGGCAAGCAATTTAAGTATTCAAAACAAGTGGGCTGTTCCTATGCTGCCTTAGACATCACAGTTCAGTCTGATCTCCAGTGTCTTGGTGTAAATTTAGAGCTATTAACAACATCAGATTCATTAGACTGACTCAAGAATTCTGTGCGTGTTAGGATAAAAAATTGGCCCCAATAGGACATCTTTCAATTCACTGCATCACTTCAGCAGAGAGTGAGAAAGTGCCACAGATGTGCAAGAATTCCACAGTATATTTTCCCTGGAAATTTAAAGCTTATCTTTAATGTGTGTTGCCTGAATGTTCTTTCTAGGCCATCTGGGGAGATAAGGAATGGGATTTTCACACTCTGAAGCTTTTCCCTTTATTCCAAAGTCTTTCTACAGATAGTTCTAGGTGGGAAAGAATTGTGCCAGTGCTTTTAATATTAGTAGGTTGAAAAGCATTTTTTCTGCAGCAGTATTTTGGCACAGGGCAGGAACCAGAAGCATCACAGATGAGTTGACCTCATGTTCTCTTTCAACAAAGCTAAAACACATTCTCATTTATCGAGGATTTGTACCAACTTTCACCAAAGTTGAACCAAGTCCTTCTGCAAAGGAGTTAGCAAGAGCAGTGTACCATGACTTTTGGAGTAAAGAAAAGGGAGGTTGCTTTAGAGTTACAATAAAGCCATGAAGGATAAAAGTAGTGTTGAGGGTAGAGGAATAAACACCTCAGGCAGGTAGAGCCATTGTGAGCAGTAGCCTATTCCAGACACTTAGCTGGATTAATATTTCTTTACTAACCTATGAAAAAGCTTAGCTGCAATACGTACAATGTGGGTGAAGAACAGTCATATTATTAGTCAATGGAAGAGTAAAATAACTGTACCCTAATACCTACATATCCACACTTGTGTTTGAGGAACTGTGACTCTAAGACTGATGCCTAGAAACCAGATGTGCTGGAAAAACTTCACATACATGTCTTTTTGTGTTTTAACCCTAATATCTACAGGCCTACTGCAGTAGGTTACAATATTTTCTCTCTATTTTATGTAAACATCTGTCATTCAGCTATAAGTCAATGGCAGGGCTTGGGTTAATCTATCAGGATGAAGGTCCATGAGCATAACAGCCAGCTTGCAGGCAAAGAAGACATTGAGCTCTGGAAAGCACATTTACTGCTGAAACAAACATGGCCCTTGCATGAATGCAGTCACTCACTGCTACCCAGAGAAATAGCAGAAAGTGATTTGGTGGGAGTTCATTCTCTGAAGGATCAATTACCACAGAGTGAAAGAACAAAGGAAACAGAGAAGCTTGGAAAAGAAGGCATGCATGAAGCCTGACCCACAGAGAATGGAAATAAGAACAAGTATAAACAGCTTTTAGTATGAGGTGAAAAAGTTTTATGGTGTGAGTAAACAGCTCTCTTCTCCTTGATTTCTCCATACTAGGGGAAGGAAAGAATTTCTATCTTCTTTGTCAATAAGAAAGATATCTGGCTCCATACCATGGAACAACCTCCAATAACCTGATTTTTGGCTGTTTGGATCACAACAGAAGAGAGGTAGAGAGGTAGCACATTTCTGCTTGCAGCTTTGAGTTTGAAACCAAATCCGTGGTCCATTAACCCTAAGATTACAAGGTGGCTGAGAAAAAGGAAGCAGAAAACATACCTAACTGCAAATGTTGGCAAACATCATACGATCCTTTAACTAAATGAGATGGAGCAGAAGTGCTTTAGCACCATTTTCACTTACATGTGTTTCAGAGTTGTAGCTGCCCCAGAAGAGTGCAGTAGTAAGTATGGCATACTCCTGGTCTTGCTGTGTCTGAAAAGCAGGAACAGATTTTGTAACAAAATATTGGCTTGGCTCAAGTTTGGCTCTGTACCAGAAGCACTTGATCACATGTTGGGTATCCCAGATGAACCCCAGATAAAGTTTCTTAAAGCATGAAAGTATTTTCAAACTCAGAGGCATCACAGAAAAACTGAAGAAAAAAAAATTACTGATTATGTTATGAAATGTCTTTACGCTAGCTCAGAAAAGCTTTAAATGTTGAGTACAAATTACAGGCCCCTCAACCCCTGCAAACAGATGATTCAAAAATAACTTCTGCAAACTCCATGTGGACCACATTCGACAGATTAACACTATTTTGATCTATTCTGCCCATATCCTTAGCAGATACTAACTACTTTTGATCTCACAGTGCAGCAATGGCCCATTGGCCTATAAAGCCCACTGCTGAGCTCACATCTATCTGCAGTACCTCTGGTGGGGTCGAGAAATCAAGCTCTCTAATAACAACTCTAATAGTAATATCTTTTTCATAATGGTGCAGGACATGCCTGCAGATCTAAGCTCTTTATGTTGTCATGATAACAGACTATGGCAGCTTGGCTATACTTCTTCATTTTTTCTTTTTTTTCTTTTCTTAATTAAAAATAAAGCATCATAAATTGAAAATGGCCCCTTAGGCTGCCTGTACAAACAATCACATCCGAATTACAGTCTAAAATAGCTATATCTGTATGCCTGAAAATGTGGTCTTTCTTGCCTATTGAGTAACTTAGATTCTTTTACTGAAATAAAGCTGGAGTACAGCTGAAGGTCTTCGGCATCTTAGGCAGATAGAACACTTAATTTTTGTCAATGATGTCAGTTAACCTTCACGAAACTAAGCAGAATTTTCCTGGTAAAATCCTCTAGACTTGCAAAGTCAAAAAGGATGAAGAAGTCAGTTAGGCTCCAGTGCCTATGACAGGATAAAGAATGGAAAAACTTCCAGAAATACAATTTTATTGATAAGTGAGAGAGACCACACACACACAAAATGACATGACAATGGAATGTTATTATACCCTGTTCTGATTTTGGTGTCATACTATATGTATGGGACATGTAGAATTATTTAACAGGAAAACAAAAATCAGATACATGCATACTCATACGCATGTATATGTAAAAATCATTCATATACTTGTATAGGTACAAATTATTGACAAAAGCTTTGAAAGACTTTTAAAAGTCTTTCCAAAAAACAATCCTATCTCTTTTGTTACTCAGGCTGACACAGCACTGGGAGAGTCAGTTATCCATGGCTTCCTATTTATTCTCTTCAGTTAACATACAAAAAATATAAATCAAATTAACGGCCATGGGTATGAATGCAGTGAAAACTTTGGAAGACATGTTGAGTCTTTAATCCTCAAGTGTTACATTTGGCTGAAGAAAAAGATAGGAGAGATTGAGCCAGAGCAGATTCCAGAGTAACACTGAGCTCCCAAAATGCTTTGGAACAGAGGGACTCTGTAATAAAAATCAGCATTACTAGATAATAACACTTTATATCTGAAAGGCAACGTGCAGGAAGAGTAGAATTAAAAGAAATGGCACAATAGAATTAATCTTAATTTGGAACCATGGAATTGTCTAGGGTGGAAAGGACCTTTCAGATCATCAAGTCCAACCATCAACCTAGCCCTAACAAAACTGTCATTAAACCATGTTGCTAAGCACCACATCTACCTGTCTTTTAAATACCACCAGGGATGGCAATTTCACCACTTCCCTGGGCAGTCTCTTCCAGTGTTTGATAACTCTTTCAGTGAAGAAATTTTTCCTAATATCCAATCTAAACTTCCCCGGTTGTAATTTGAGGTCATTCCCTGGTGTCCTATCACTTGTTACTTGAGAGAAGAGACTGACTCTCACCTCTCTACGACCTCTCTTCAGGTAGCTGTAGAGAGTGATAAGGTCTCCCCAGCTTCCTTTTCTCCAGACTAAAAAAACCCAGCTCCCTCAACCGCTTGTCATAAGACTTGTGCTCTAGACCCCTCACCAGCTTCTTTGCCCTTCTCTGGACATGCTCCAGCACCTCAGTGTCCCTCCTGTAATGAGGGGCCCAAGACCAAATGCAGTACTCCAGGTGGGGCCTCACCAGTGCTGAGTACAGGGAGATAATCACCTCCCTAGTCCTCCAGCCACACTGTTCCAGGCCAGGGTGCTGTTGGCCTTCTTGGCCACCTGGGCACACTGCTGGCTCATGTTCAGCCTGCTGTCAACCGACAAGCCAAGTCCTTTTCTGCCAGGCACTGCTCAAGCCACTCTGCCCCAAGCCTCTAGCGCTGCAATGAGGGGCCCAAGACCAAATGCAGTACTCCAGGTGGGGCCTCACCAGTGCTGAGTACAGGGAGATAATCACCTCCCTAGTCCTCCAGCCACACTGTTCCAGGCCAGGGTGCTGTTGGCCTTCTTGGCCACCTGGGCACACTGCTGGCTCATGTTCAGCCTGCTGTCAACCGACAAGCCAAGTCCTTTTCTGCCAGGCACTGCTCAAGCCACTCTGCCCCAAGCCTCTAGCGCTGCATGGGGTTCTTGTAACCCAAGTGCAGGACCCACCACTTGGCCTTATTGAACCTCACTGTGTTGGTCTCAGCCCATCCGTCCACCCTGTACAGATCCCTCTGCAATGCCTTTGTACCCTCTAGCAGGTCGACACTCCCACCTAATTTACTGAGGGTGCACTCCATTGCCTTTCCCAGATCATTTATAAAGATGTTAAAGGGGACTGGCCCCAATACCGAGCCCTGGGGAACACCACTCATGAGTGCCCAACACCTGGATTTAACTCCATTCAACACCAGTCTCTGGACTTGGTCAGATGATCTGCTCCATAACCTTCCTGCAGTTCCTCAGACCCTCCTTCCAGCCCTTCTTGTACATGGGCATCACATTTGCTATCTTCCAGTCAACTGGGACCTCCCTGGCTAGCCGGGACTGCTGATAAATGATGCAAAGTAGCTTAGTAAGCACTTCTACCAGCTCCCTCAGTACCCTCGGGTGGATCCCATCTGGCCCTATAGACTTGTATAAGGAATACCTACATTTCAGTGAAAATCAATAGAATCAGTGTTCCTTTCTAATTTCTTGATCAAATTCCAACATAAATATTTCATCTAAAATCCTTTTACAGTTTGAGTCTATATGTTATGTTATTCAGTTCATCCAAAATGGAAAGTAGTGTTAACTGGCCACTGCTAAGCAGCTGGCACATTTCAGCCCAGAGGTGGTTACACTTCAGATCTGGCTTAAAAATGGAACATGATGCTTTTTGCAATGTTTGTTTTTAAACTAATGCTTTTGAGAAGGCTCATGAGAACATACAATAGTGAGATGCCTTTCCAGGGACCTACCTGAGTACCTTACATGATTGCTAAATTGCTCAGTTGGTTCAGCAATAGATACATCACTAATATTTGTAAAGTTCTTCAGAGCATGTTGATTAATCACATTTCAAATTTGCAAGAAAGGACATGTTGACTTCATTCCAAACACATTCATAGTATTTAATTCGCCCCTATTTAATGTCCACCCTTCAAACTGCCACCAGTGTGGTACAGCACATTCAGCAGCTGCACTCCTCCCCTTCCAGAGAGGTGGGGTCACCTAAGCAGAGACCAGGTCATTTCTACCCTCTCATTCTACTTAGTAGTAAACCTAGAGATACGAAAAGCAGGGCAAACAGCTTTCAGTACCTCCTTTCCTAGATCCTCTGCTCACATAGCCGCTCAGGCTGGATGTTATTAGTTTTCTAGATCAATGACTGCAACCCTTAAAAAATGCAGAGTCTATATCTGGCATTTTAAAAGCTTTCAGACTAAACAGCATATAGTAGTGTCCTATGGCATCTGTAAAATCTCACTTCGCACATGGTTGGACTCTCAAAGCCTGTTGCATTCCCTTCAGCTTTTTCATACTTTGGGAAGTAACAGAGGCTGCAAAACGCAAACATCATACATTTTCATGCACTATTTTAAAAGAAAAATGTATCACCTTTTTTACCAAAGTCCAAGGATAATCATTTAATAGGTGTTTTATGCAAATTTCTGAATTGTTGCATTTCTGTGTCAGGCATGGACCATTCCACATAATTTTCTTTTATATTTAGCTTTCAAGCACAGTTGAAAGTTCAGCTCAGATGTTGTTATAAACAAACAATCGATCATTTTTTCATGTAACTAAAAAAAACTAATGCTCACTGACCAAATGCTCCTTTAACCAAAATCTCTTTCTCTCTCTGCACATGAGTTTTCTTTTCTGTGTTTATTACATGCAGTTAAAAGACATTCCTATTTATTCTAAATTCTTTTTCATCTGAGCGCTTCAGAGAAGCTGAATTCTACTGTATTGTTTGCAGCTGATATCTTCTGAAGCATTACTGTCCACTGAAGGAGAAACACTCTTGCTCTCTTAAAAAAATATTTTTAAAAATATATAGGTGTGTGTATATATATATATTTATATACACAATCATTAACTGGCCTATAGGAAAGCTTGATTTCTATGACATATGGAAAAAAATAGGAGGACATATGGAACACAAGGAGGTAGAAATATAGGCCAAGTCTCATTCTACCACCATTAAAATGGCTAAAATAAGACTGAAATGTTGGACTGCACCCATAAATACAGTATTTTGAAAGGAGAACCAACAAAAAGTATAACTGATAAATAATTATTGACTAATTTACACCTAGTTACTCTACTGTGAGTGGAATACTCTAGATGTAAAGAGGTGTACAAAGCATCAGATCAGAATGTGGCTCAGAATCTGGTATTTTGGCTTTTTTGATAAAATCCTAGAAATAACATTGACTACATTTACACCAGAAAATACTTCTAGTGTCTACAGATCTTGGTTTTCCTTTCCTTTATTGTATCTGATCAATGGGTATGACCTGAGAAAGCCCCAACATCTTTCAGTTCATGTTTCCAGCACCAGCTGGACCATGGTACAGAGTTCTGCATGCTCAGGAGACTCAACAGCTCACCATAGTCTCAGTCTCCCCTCAGCGAGGGCAGTGCCACTGTTCTCATAGTGTTTTGCTTGGGGTAAATTTGGCAGAGCAATGTGGGTCTCAGAAACCTGCAAATGGTTTAATGGAAGTAAACATAGTAGACACAAGCCAGCATATATGAAGGGAGATGGACAATTCCTCCAAGAATTCTGCTTTATTTTCATTGCTTTGATATCACAGAATCATAGAATGGTTAGAATTGGAAGGAACCTTAAATATCATCTATTTCCAGCCCTCCTGCCACAGGCAGGGACAACTTCCACTAGACCAAGTTGCTCAAGCCCAGGTCAGCTTGGACCTGGGCTTGACCTGAACACTTCCAGGGATGGGGTATCAACAACTTCTCTGGGTAGCCTGTTCCAGTATCTCACCACCCTCACAGTAAAGAATTTCTTCCTAATATCTAATCTAAACCTACCCTCTTCCAGTTTAAAACCATTACCCCTTGTCCTATCACTACACTCCTTGATAAAGAGTCCCTCTCCATTTCTTCTGTAGTTCCCCTTTAGGTGTTGGAAGGCTTCTATAAGGTATCTCTGGAGCCTTCTCTTCTCCAGGCTGAACAACCCCAACTCTCTCAGCCTGTCTTTATAGGAGAGGTGTTCCAGCCCTCTGATCATCTTCATGGCCCTCCATGCCTTTCTTATGTTGGGGGGCCCCAGAGCCGGATGCAGTACTCCAGGTGCAGTCTCACCAGAGTGGAGTAGAGGGGCAGAATCATCTCCCTCAATATCTTAATTTCTTTCCTTCATTACATGTAATCATGGTTTGCATACTCTTTTTCTCTTGCACACACTCCTTAAAGATGAAGTGTTGGTTCTAGAAGGAAAGAAGTAAAAGACTCAACTTTATTCTATGAAATTATAAAGCCTGGTTCGAAATTCACTGACACCCATGGAAAGACTCCCACTGACTTCAGCAAGTTCTGGACAGGCCAAAGTATGCTTTTTTGAACAGTCAGTTCACATTTGCCATCATGCCCAGGATCATATACTCAATCCCTCATAACTTTAGATTGCCTGTGTAGAATAGAGTACAGCATGGGTTATCACTTCAACAGAGGACAATAGAGGACATCAGAAAAAAAACGCAGCCATCGCCAGTAAAAACATGTCCTTGTGTCCTTGTGTGAAGCCCCCCAGGTCACTCTAGGTTTCTGACCAAAATGAGGCATTGCATACTGATGTTAGCTGGACCAGACCATATGCAATCTCTTTTAAAACTGTTCTTCCAAAGTTGTTACTGACATGAACTCTAAGTTCAGAATCTGAATAAACTGAGCAATAGGACGTATTTTACATTTATGGTAGTTTTAAATTATCTACAACGTGCTTTATCTATAAACACGGCCACAGACACAGTATGCAGTATATCCAGAAAGAAAGGTAGAGTCAGTTTTAAAATAAAACAAAGGCAAGGAAAAGGAAATCTAATATAAGCGACATGAACAAACCATTACCTTCCATAAACTTGGATTACTTTCCATCAGTATTACTGATATCTGAGGAGGAGAAACTTGACTTTTTTAGCCTCATCTCACAAACAGATTTTGCAATCCGTTACAAAGATGAAATTGGTCATGAGAGTAACTATGCTTCATTATACTTGGGTCGCATGAACTGTAATTGTAAGCTCATTATCACTGTTACCTGAAGAAAACTCTCTCTTGCACCTTTCTCCAGTTACAGGAAATTCTGTGCCTGGAAAAAACAACTGGACAAGGGGGCAGTGATGAGAACAGCAACGTGCTCTTTTTCCTGGCGGGCTAGGCAATACTCCTGACATCTGATGCATCCAAGAACCAGAGACTGATTAAAGTCTCTTCCCCCTTCACATCTCCACCTCTCCCACTTCTCTCACAGTTTATAGTGCAGGTTCCAATTGTTTGTTAACTTTATCAGTTGGAAACTTTAATATTTTTTTTTCTATTATCAAACATCTCCATTATGAAGGTGGGAGCCTTCATCATTTCAGTGACAAGAGACACAGCCAGAGCAGAGAAATAAGTCTATGACACAGACACACTTTGACATATCTAGAAAAAAAAAAGACTCATCTGTACATTCAACTACCTGTTCCTACACACACACTTTTTTATCTTAGTTAAACTGTTGTTTGTATGTACACTGGATAGTGCTGCAGGCATGCAAACAGTCATTTTAGAAGCTGGGAAAAGATGATGTGAAAAATTACCGAAAGGGATTCTAAAGGGATAGGTGGGAGAAAAAGGACAAGGGGAAGAGAAGGGAGACAGCCTTGGAGGAGACAGAGGGATATCCAGCAGAGGTGAGGCAAGGACAGTGAATCTCCATGGAACTCACTACTTCATTGGGAGAAGCTGGAGAAATGCCATGGCATCCCAGAGCAAAAGGTTTGTTTTGAGGACCTCCTGGTTATAAGGATTTTCTTTTTTTTTCTTTACTTCTCCTTCCCACATCCACCTCCTTCTGGATACTTTCTTTTAGCAAAGGAGTAGGCATATAATGTCAATTTTCACACCACTCTGCAGCTCTTTTTCTAAAGGCAGGATTCCTCTCAGAAATGAAATCTTACATCTGTATGTTCACACAAACACAAACAGATCTTCCCTAGCCAGATACAAACGAGTAACTTCAGTTTCCAGCTTTACACAACCCATTTACCTCTCCACGTCTTGTGCCTGAGTTCTGCCATTTCCATAGTTACTTTTTTCTAGTTTCCCCCAGAGACATCATGAAATGCAGGACACTCAGTAGGCAAAACCAAAATAACACTTGTTCTTTTCTCTCTCGTAAGGGCAGCTTGCTCAGACTGTTACTATGGACAGCCTATGCATGTTGTTTGTGCACATTCCATTTTGCAACAAACAAGCACTGCTGCTCAGCTAAGCTGATTGAATATCGATTGGCTTTTCCTTCATCTCTCCCCTCTCCCTCGTTTGCCATCTCCTACTATTTTTTTGCCTTCTCCCCTCTCTTGTGCACTCCACATAGGAAGAAAAAAAAAAAAGAAGAATAAAAAAAAGATGCCTTCAGGATTCCTTAAGTCTGTGTTGGCAGGACTCCCTGTTTGCGGTGCAGGTGTGCAGGAGACCTCCTCCGTGTCGTCGCCACAGCAACCTGTCTGTCTAATCTGCTGAATATAAAAAAAGAAATAGACAGAGAAAAGCCATCCACCCCCTTCTGCTCCATCCATGAGCCCAAAAGAAGGATATAGTTTCCAAGCATTCCTCATAATTCCCCAGCCATTGCCCAGGCAACAGCCACAAGGAGCTGGCGGGCCCTGTGGAGAGAAAGCAGTCCCTGTCTGGAGTTCATTGCACCACCAGCATAAAACACCTCCCTCCCCCTCCTCACGATTCTCTATTCTCCTCCTTTCCCCTACACAAATGTTGCATGCACGTGCATGCACACGCACACTTGCACATGCAGGGCTTAGACCCCTGCATGTCACTCATGCCTTCCCCTGCTTGCAGTAGGTCAGACCATGAGCACATGCATTTCATCACCCTTGACTTCATGTGACCTCCTGTTCCCAGAATACACACCGGGAGAGGCCGACAGAACATCTCAAAACTGTCATCGCCTGAATATTTATTCTAAAATGACCCCATGTCCCTTCTATTGTGTCTCTTTTAATGATTCACTGTTGCCAATAACAGGGTAAATGTTAGACCTAACTTTGTAAAGTTCAGCCTCCCATAGGAAAAATCTAAGAAGTTTTACATTACAAGGTAATTGTTGAGCTCATATGGCTCAGCAGCCAGATACTATAGTGATAGATACTTCAGATATGCCAGCTGGGAACTTGGCATAAGCGTCTGGTTATAAAAAAAGGGGGTTGGAAACCTTTGAAGATACTTAAATCTCCAGTCACCTTTCAGATGGGCTGTATTGCTAGAAGTGTGTTTATCAGCCAGAGAAAGGACTGGTGAGAGAATTCTCCTTATCAAAACTCATGGTTTAAAAAGCAATCCCTTGCAGTTTCAGTTATGACAGCTGTTTCTGGGATATGAAGAGGTTTTTCAGAGCTGTGGGGTCTCTATCCCCTGTATCCAGCAGTGAAAGCTCTCATTTGTCTTCCCACCGTCGTGTTGATGCAGCTGGGTTTGACACTGCTTACCTCAGCACTTTTTTTTTTTTTTTTTTTTTTAAAAAAAAAAAAAAAAAAAAAAAAAAAAAAAAAAAAAAAAAAAAAAAAAAGGGGAAAAAAAAAAAAAAACCGCTGGGTGTG